CCCTGGTTACTAGGCGAACATGGTGTATTCTGGACCAAAACGTGTGTTCATTCGCGAACATTACTTCACATCGAAATATTTTGCTGCTGTTTGTAGCATTTGGCAGTAGACATCCTGACAAGGAAATACACCGACTGGCAACAAGATTTCGAAACACAGGGGCTTTTTGAATATTCATGAGGACCTAGCTTCGAATGTAGACCGGTACTTTATCGTGGTTTTATCAGTCACTACAGGAAACTGATGGATTACTGTAGCAATCGCCAATGCCCTACACAGAACAGCACTCTAAAATATATTCGTTGATGACTCTTCATTCTGAACGGAACACCGACGTCATTACAACACAAAGCAGCTTAATATTTCCGTTGCTAGGTGACGAGACGAAACTATTTCAAGGGGGAAGCAATACACCATCTTTACGCTCGCAGATAAAGGCATGTGTCCTGCACCTGGGGATCTACGCAGCCCAACAAACAGCGGAGTGTGATGTGTTGCCTACGGAAACGGGGGTGAAGCTGTCGTCTATAAAAAAATGACAAATATCTATTTAGGCTGAGACAGGAAAAAAATTTCCAACAGAATAAAGTGTAAGGTGTTCAGATGTGATAAAGTTATGACGGAACAAATATTTGTTTATAATTATTCTCCTCACTTAGAAGCAGCGTCGCTATTAAATAACTCACAGATGCATATTTAACTATGAAGCCAGCAAACTCGAAAGCTAATCGAGAGATTAGTTATGATTCGTAGTTCGAAGACTGGCAATCCTGCTTCGGAGTCTCCATGATTTTCTTGTCCTTCCAGACGAATAATGGATTATTTTTAAAGAAGCGACGATCATCATATCATTTCAGGATACATAACCTACACAACTGTGTAAAGCAAAGGCTGAAGCCCCTGAAGATGGAGAAAGTACGTTCCTATCTACGAGTTTACATGACACCAAAACCAAATAAAACGACGTCCTACCGACGTGAAAACCTCATATCTCTTGATTAAAATACTTCTGGCGTGACATGTCGCACTAGAGAGGGTTATTATTTTAATTTCCTTCTTTTTAAAAGAAATATAGGTTTATGGCGTCATCATATCCTCCCCGTGACTGACCCCCACTTAATACCTGTTTAATGAACGGACCGATTTTCATAAAATTTGGTATGAGCATCAAGCTATTGGAGGGGACAGACCGCTTTAATACCATTCAGTTTCTTTGTAATCAATAATACGAACATGCAGGTCATAGGGTATAAGTAAGGCTGGCGGATTCAAGACTTTTTAGGCGATAAAGTTGGTAAAGTTCTGTTATCTTCTAGTACCAAATTTGCAGGTGACTGCAACGGGTCTAAGAGTCAGTTCTGGAAACAAGAATGCAGCAATTCCAATACGGGGGTCACCCCCCTAATTTTTTTGTTCGCTGTATATAAGGACGAATAGGACAGAGTGGGGAGACAGTTTCTCCGATATTATCTGCATTCCACCCGCCCCGCGCATTCCAGGCAACCATCCGCCTGCAAGTTATAAGCCACTGTACTCCACTGCACCTTCTGGCATTACATAGGAAACACATTTTTCAACTTCTTCTTCGAAGTGGTGTCTGCTGTTCTAAACCGTATTTTGGTATCTATTATATGAAGAAGAAGAACTTTTGCCAAGTTTTACATTACAGGGCTTCAAACTGAAAAGAGAGAATAATAAATTGAAAGTCGAGTACAGGGTAAAGACTGCCATATTGCACCGCTTAACCCTAAGGAACAGACGGACAGAATGCTTCGTCCTTTAATTCTGATATCAAAAGAAAGTTAAGGACTGAGACGAGTGTTAATGCACAATGCATGTACGTAGGATGCAAACCCCGTGGCGTTATGCTGCCACGCCCAACAGTCATCCTGTAGTGTCGCACACAAGATGACCCAGTCTTGTTTTGGGCACATTTTCCTTTTATGAGGCATGAAACCTCGATCCTTATTCTGAGTTAAAAAAAAAATTCTTTTATGTCGCGTCTTGTAACATGACACAAGTTTATCGACGTTTAGGAAGTGCCTGCTGCCTCCACAATCATCGCCCTGATGATATTTTACTATTTCATTTTATACTTAAAAAAACCGTACAGACTCCGTCTACATCAAATTTTGCAACTTCGCCATATTTGTAATTTTTGCGTGTCATAAATGATAAATCACATACACAGTTTGTATGAATATTTATAACCTGTCTCCATAATAAATTTCACACTCGGGTACAAAGGTTCATTCATTAGCGATCGTTGTCAAAGAAGCCAAAGGAAATTTTGGCAATGCCACAACGCCGTCGCTTTACGTTTTCCAAAAAAAATATACAATTCCTATTTCCATGCTTCATTTCAGAATGCTATATCAAGAACTGTTCGAGCCTCCTAAGCAGGTAAAATATTAAACCGGGGGGGGGGGGGGGG